CAATTTATACACTTTAAAGTAATTGTTTCAGCTTATTTATGTAATATTTTTTCGTTCAAGCTCTCTACCTTTACACGCCGTCGGCACTCTCTTATAGATTTCATAAAATGAGCATCGACGAGGATATTCTTTATATATGATGAACGTAATTGTAAAGAAATTTTTTGCTCTCAAGATTCTAGGAATCAGAAGTAAGAAAATTATATTCGCCTTAAAGCGAAAGAAAAGATAGAAAGAGAAGTAATCGGCCACAATTACACAATCGTTAAAAGAATATTTAGAGCACAGTACGGAAATTGGATCAAAATCTTGTTTAAGTTGCTGAAGGAATTAAGTGAGGGACAACTGGAGTGAGGGGCTGCTTTAAGGATATGAAAGGAAGCGATTTTTGTATGTTATCGTCATCGGCGATGAAAAATGGACTTAATCTGAAAGCCGAGAGGATAAGCAAATGAGCGTTGATTCGGACTAACCAGCAAAATACCTGTTGCTAAGCAAAACCGGGTTAACACGAAGGCAATGCACTGTATTTGTAGAGACCAGAAAGGTGTAGTGTAGGATATTATGAGCGACCAAAAAGTGGTGAAACGGTTAATACGAAATGCTGTGAAAAACAAACGATAAACTTAAATAATGTATTGAATGAAAAATTCCATCCGTGGCCCCATGGTAAGTTAATCTTAATGGTAATAAGCAGCCAAACAGCAAAGCTAGTTAATGATAACTTAAACACACTTGGTGGTAATGTGTTGCCCTGTTTGTCACATTGTCACCCCGGAGTTGGCTTTTGTTTACATTAACATCGCAAGTATATTCTGAGTTCCAAGAAAATGAGACGAACCGACGAAGGCGTCAAAATATCTAAAAAAACTCCATTGCTTATATTGATCCTAATTTATATAAGGCATGCTATGCATATCTAAGTATTGTGAAAAGAGACAGAGAAGGTAATTATTTTTTTATCTAAACAGATCTCAATAGAAGAAAGGATAACCCATCTATAAGATAAGTACGCATGCCTTTATAGATGAAAAAACAATAATTTTTTACATCAAAAAATTATATTAGAAAACTTATGAAATAACTCCGTATTGCAGTTACGCAATACTTATGTATGTACGTACTCATGTTGTCTTACTTTTGCATGGCAAATGGCATTAAAAAAAGAAGAGAATTTCAGTCCTTAGACTTATTCATGTGCATAAATATGTGAAGGCGGTACGTACCATTGTGTATAAGAAATACGCATGTGTTTGTTATAAGAGACTAAACCTAAAGTCTTGTGCTCAAGTTTTAATTAAGCGACACTGGGGCTATAATGGAAATGAAAGTGTAGTTTCTTTTTTATACATATATATATATATATATGTATATATATGTACATATTTCTAAATACAATTAAACATGCAATTATATATATATAAATATTTTCATACATGGTCATGACATATCGGTCAATAATTCCCCGGACTAAGTGAGCGAAACTTCTTTATTTGCAGAATTATACTATTTTTTTATTAACATAATCAAGGGTGGTCCGATCGGTTTAGTTAGCGTCTCAACGTTGCTTTTGTAGAACTATATACCAAGGCGTCTAAAAATACGATTCAGTTTCCGCAATGAGCTAAACATTTGATCTAAATTGTTTCCACATATCTATCGATTGTGTCTAGATCTGGAGAATACTGTGGTTGAGGCATTAGAAGTTTGATTCGCGCAAATTTCTTTTGTTGAGGTTTCTGCTTGACTTTAAGAAAAGACGGCTTCCGATACTTTGAAGATGGCAGTTACCTTTTGATACTTTATTTTTCGATTATTGAGAGTCATTCTTGGCGTCCACCTCCGTTCCGTATAAACGGTTTTCCTTCGACCTAAGGTAAAATGAGTAACCCCCGTCCGTTTATTATTTTCGATACACAAGAGCATTTATAACACTACTTACGTCCATCCACGATTTTTAAATGGAGTTTCGTGCTTTAAAAAAGCAATCTTTAATCAACACATTCGGATTTTTTTCTCTTGTTTCGAAAAGAACAAAATGGAGTCGCGATATTTGTTACAGACGACATATATCTTTCAATCCCGAGGCTTATTGACCATTCCTTACATATATATATATATATACGTGTCTAAATTTATACGTACATATTC